CTGACGTGCCTGTTTTGTGATGTGCAGAGCTCTGAGGACAGAGGTCCTTTTCCACTGAAAGAAAAAAGGTAATGTTGAAGCACAGCCAACATAAATTAGTCTCTTCTGACTTAAATGTATTAATTATCTGTTAAATACAACCAAATCACCAGAGACTGAGGAGGGGAAAGGACCTGTCCCTTTGCTTTCATCCATGCTCTTTTCATGGGCTCTCATTTGCAGTTTTTGCTGGCTGCTGCAATTGGCTCACTCAGAGAAATCAGTGATGGAGAACTGAGGGAAGGAATGAACATAAAATAAGTGTTGTGTTTATGTTTAAGAGTTGTGCATCTTCAAACAGTGGCTAAGGGGAAGGTGGGTGAGAAGTGACATCCCAGATCTGGGGACATTGTGCCACACAACAGTGATGTTTTGTCATGAGATTTTATAGGTCACACCTAACAACCCTTGTGTGAGACACAACAAATATAACTGAGGCAAATTTTAGAAACCCAAAGTTTAAAAAAAACCACCAAACATTAATTAGGGAATGCATAAATAAGATGTGTCAGCTGCAGAGGAAAGTTAGTGCACTGACCCACCCACTTTTGGAAGGAAGTGGAAAAAAGTTTTAAGGAGAGTTAGTGCTGAGGGATTTGTAGGTATCTCAGCATAAGCTTCCTTGGTGTCTAAGGAGGAGAGACAGCTAAAGTGCTTATTAGACTGTTTTAGAAGCTGATTGATGGGTATTAATCCCTTCTAGGATTTCCCAGCAGAGTTTTCATTTCAAACCAGTCACTAATTACTGGCACATTACAGGAGAGACGGCCAAAAGTGAAACAAAATTCACATAATAATGAAAAAAAGCTCCTCCTGCTTTGTTGCCAGGAGGATGTAGACTCAGACTGGTAACCTAGGAGCAAATTTCCCAAATTAAAATAAATTAGGCTGTAAAAGGAAAAGAATTAGGAAGACAACAAGGAAAGAACTGAGGTGCTGCTGATGAAGGTGACACATGTTTAGTCAGCAAAGGCGGATCCTCTGGCTTTAACACAAAGGTGTAGAGGTTTTGTGGTTGGAAGTGTGGTGTGCTCAGGTGCTGCTCACTGGGGGTGCAGATTGCATCACCACTACGTTAAAGTGGTGTAAGCCTCTTACTAAATGTGTGTAAGAGGAATTTCATACCTGTTTCACTGCAGGATTCCCTGTGGCAGGCATCCCCTGTTCACTGCTGCTGTGCAGCTCCTTGTTTTGCGTGTTCCCTCTCTGTTGGTGTGTAATTCCTGGGTTTGAGCACTCCCTAGATGCTAAATTTATCCATTAAAAGCATGTTAATAGCTTTTCCCAGAGCATAAATCACAGTGCAGCTTGATCTACCAAACCCTAAGGTATTTCCCCTCCATGTGATTTCATTTATTGCAGCTCTGTAGCTGCAGAACAAAATAATTCCTGCTTGCCTGTAATTGTGGTGTTTTGTACTTTTGCACAGGAATCTGTTGTTTTTTACCTCTTGGTGTTCCTGGGTGAAGTATTAAAACTGCCCAGTTTTACAGCTGGAGAAAGAGGCTGACTATGCTAATAGCAGGTTTTCCAACATTATCCCGAGCTTTTGCCACCAGAAGTGTAATGAATAGACTCCTAAAAGATGTAATCAAATTACTTGACAGAATCCTGTAATTCTGTAGAATTATTCCTAGGTAGTTTTTTTTTTTTTCTTCATGTTTTCATTCCTTTATCTCAGTAAACACTGTATCTGTCTGGAATCCACCTGAAATGTGTGTTATCAACCCATATGGAAAAAATGTGCAGGATCAGGGTAAGCAAAGAGCCAAACCTCACACCTCCAGCTGTCTAAAGGCTCTTCAGGTGCCCAGGTCAGGAGTCTTGTATGGTGATGGGGCTGTTCTGTACCCCTTGGGATCCCTCAGTGTCTGTCAGGAGTGGATGTTTCTGGGAGCCAATGTCCCAAAAAGCAACAGAAGGAATTCCATATGTAAGTGGAAGTTAACGTTCTGTAGCTATGTGTAGCAGCTTGGATCCTGCAGTGGTTTTTTAGTAGCTTAATCATTGACCAAGGATGTTTCCTGTGGAGGCTCCATGTGTTGGATGGGCAGATTCAGAGATCAGCACTCTGGAGTCAGAGGAAGCATTACAGCAGCTATTTGCCAGACAGTGTGAGTAGAACAGAAGAACCAGGCAGGGCCCAGTGGAACGCGCACAGGTGGGGAGCACAGCTGCTGTGAGCAGGTGGCTGTGCAGCAGCAGCCTGGCTCCTCTGCCATGTTCCACCCTGAGGAACCGTGGCTAGAGCTGCCGTTCCCGGGTTTGCGAGCGGGCCTGAGGGAGCCCGGAGGGGCGCGGGGAGCGAGCGCAGAAGGGGCACGGGCGCCGCGCCGTGTGGGGACGAGCGGCCGTGGCGCTGAGGGCCCCGTGAGGCGCGCAGCGGCCGCCATGGCACCGGCCCCAGCGCCCGCCGGGTCCGCCGGGAGGCGCGCGCCAAGGGCGGCGCTCTGGCCGCGCCGCCGCCATCTCGGTGTCGATGGTGGCGGGGGCGGGGCGGCCCCGCCCAGCGCTGCCGCGGAGCGAGGAGGAAATGGCGGCGCGGCGCGGCTGAGAGACCTTTGGCGGCCGCGGCGAGAGATCCCCTTCTCTGCTCGCGGTGAGTGCGGGAGGCGGGTGGGGAAGCACCGGGGCGGGAGGAGAGTGGGAGCGGGGCCGCCGCTGCGGCGGGGAGATCGCGGGAAGGGCGGCCCGGCCGCCTTTGGGCTCGCTATAAAATGGAGGCGGGCGGGCGGCCGGAGTGGCTCGGGTGTGGGGGGTGCCCCGGGGAGAGCGCGGCGCGGGCACGGCACGGTCCGGCCCGGTCCGGAGGAGGCGGCGGCTCCGTGCGGGGCTCCGGAGGAAGCCTTTGGCTCACGCCGCGGCGGGGCCGGAGCGGAAGGGCCGCTCCCCGGGCGGAGCGGGCTGAAGGCGGCTCCTCCATCTTGGGGGGAAGGAGAGGCGAGGAGAGGCCGGGTGTGCTCGGAGCCCGTCGCCGCCATGGCCAAGCTGACGCCGGGAAGCTGCTTCGTGACGGCACCACCGACTGCACCAGCGGCCCCGGGCCCGCGCCGGGGGTGGCTGGGGCGGGCAGCGCCCGTGGGCACCCAGAAAAACCCAACCGAGCCCGACCGAAATCGTTCCGGGGTGCGGCGGGAGGGACTGAAACTTCCCTGCCTTGGAGAGGTGTTGGTTTTCTCTGGGCAAAGGAGGGGCTCTCCTTATTGGTGAGTTAAACACGAGGAGTTGAACTTAATCGTGTTCTGCTGACTATTTTGTAGGGAGAAAAAAAAATATTTAGCCAAATTGTTGATCGGTTTAAAATATTTAATAGATTCCTTGCCAATTCCCTGTCCTTGGCACTAATGTACTTAAATGCTGTCTCTTGGAGGTGGTGATAATTTGGAGCAGTTTGTTTGGCTTGCAAAAAGCATTATTTGGTGGCGACCAAATTATGTTTAATACAGTTAAATAGTTTATACCTCCAAGCAACAGCTTATGTTTTTTAGTTGTGGTTATGAAAATCTTACTATCTTATCTTGTCCTTTTTAACTTGGAAATAATGTTATAATCAAGCAATGTGTTATGAAATGAATGTGTATTATGCTCGCCCTGCAGTTTTTGTCTCCAATAATTTGAAACAGTGTAACGTGCACTTCTTCATGCATGGGCTTTCATGGGTTTTCATTTCAGGAACGTCAGGGAGGAAAAAAAAAGTTGATTCCTTTTATTTTGCTCAGAAGAATGTACATTGCATTCCTAAATTCACTGGATTTTTTTGGTTCGTTGGTTTTTCCCTGGATAATAGAGTTCACATTTTTTTCAGAAATAATGCTTTTGAGTAACCAGTAATCACAGTCTTGATTAACTAAATTCTTTGGCAAGTAATATTAAACTATATTTTGCCTCATTTTATGATAATTTTTTCCACTGTATGCTTTTTTGTGTATTTTCCTCAGTTTTAAGGGATAATTCAAATTATATTAGCTTTAACAGTCTTGGTGCTGCTTCTACAAACAAAATTTGCTAGGTGTTTAAGCAATTTAATTGCAGGTCCGTGGAAAATGATGTGTAGTTACTGTCCAAGTGTACCAGGTACCCTGTTAATTGTAGTAGATATTCTGGGTTGTGCTCCACTTTTATGTGTGCCAGCCGCTTGTTATCGTTCCTTGACATTTAGAACTTTCTATAGGAATAAATATAGACGTAAGCTTAAAATAGCCATCAGTAAGGCCTTAATTTTTTTTTCCCTTGACAGTTCCAGAAACATGTCACACATAAATGTGTTTTAATGCATTGGGGTGAAAAACTAAAGGCTCATGTTGGCCTTCAGCCTCCATTGAGACTGCTGGACTCCAGTGATTAGAAAATAAAATAATTTGTGTTTTCAAGACCAGCTTTTAAATAATTTTTTACAAAGTTTTTGTGTTGTTTCTCTTAGGAGGTATTTTCTGTTGGTATGCAAATGAAGGTTTTGCTGTGTTGCAAATATATGTACAGTGCAAAAATACCTGCAGTTTTAAAAACTGTTGAAATATAATAATATAAACCAATATCTATTCACACATGATTCAGAGGGTGTTTCCATATAACTAAAAGATGGATTTTGAATTAAAAAAGCAAATAACACCAAAACCCCGAAACTCCCCAAAGCAATGCAAATAGAATCAAAGCTAGGTTAGTAGATAAAATTGAATAAATATTTTTTCAGTGTGTAGTGGACTCCTAGAAGCCAGTGTTTGTTCTGATTAATCCAGCTTTACTACTAAGATTTTTCTGCCATTATTTATTTCTGGTTTAAAATAGTAATTGTCTTTATAGTTGTAACTTAACGACTGTGGGATTTTAATTCTGTACAGCCTGAAACTTTAAGCTGGAGGTATTAGTGAGAACAGGAAGAGCAAGGATTAAAGGGTTGGGCTGAGAGTTAGAAAACGTAACTGAGGGAAGTAGGAGCAGGGTCTGGGCTGGGTGAGAGTGACATTCCATGGCTTTAGTTGACAGAAATGGTGTCTCTACACCAGTTTCATTCTCTGGTGCACTTTGTGCCTTGTGCCTCTTGTGCCACAAGTAGAGCAGTGGTGAGAGACACAAGGAGAGGATTTTAACACGAGTAAGGTGTCCCCAGCTTGTGCAAGAGCTGGTTCCTGTTGGTGTGTGCAGTCAGGCCTGAGTTCTCAGCTCCCAGTTTGTGCTTGGAGGATTCACTGCTGGGAAGTTTTTATCTAAGGCAGCTCCTCAAATAAGCAGATATTTGACAGGTGTAATTGGTAGTGGTCTTGAGCACTGATAGACTTTGAGGTTAAAAAGCTTAAATTTCCAGTTAGGCAGCTCAGACACATATATTAAATGAGCATTATGTGTTTTGTCCCAGTAAATTTTAGTCAAAACTGGAACATCAACTGTGTTTACTGCATCCTTAATAACATAATCAGCGTGCTGCAGTTAGTATTTCACCAAATTTGGGAGAAGTTCATTTCTGTTTATTTAATTAAGTTGTTTTGGTGGGATAAGAATAAAAATGATAGCGAGTTTCAGAGGTTACATTTTAACTCACTTTTTACAGACAAAATAAGGGAAAAAGTTGCATAACCACATGATTTTGTTTTCTTCAACAGCTGTACTGGTAGGATCAGAAATGGTAGATCATTTAAAGATAAATAAGCTGTGGGATTGTGAAAAGTTAAACTTTAAGATTCTCTGATTTAGCTGTTGAATTTACAACTGAATGTTCCTAATGGCCCTGATAAAGAGCTAATTTCCCTGGGGCCCCGGTGGAGAAATGCCAGAGGGTGTGAATTGCTTTCCCTAAGCAATGTTTCCTGGACAGTTGCTAAAGAGATCAAGTTCATTTGCAGAAATTGAACATTAGGCAAATATATAGTATGTATTTGCAAAATATTTTCATTCAAGATGATGGAAAAGGAGGGCTAAAGATCCTGTGTATTGGGTGATACCCCAGCAGTGTTTGTAATTGATATTTCTGTTGACTAAACTTTGAACCATGACTTGTAATATTGGCTTTTGCTGGAGCCTTTAGAAGGTTTCTTGTTAAGAGGTGATCGTGCTTGGGCTTCTAATCTAAGCATTTGACCACCTGAAATTGTGTTTATTGCTTCTTAATCTGTATTAAAGGGAAAAAACCCCAAAACAGTAGAGCTCTCTACACTGCTTTGATTCTGCTCACAACTTTCCTTAATGGGCAAAATTTGTTTGTTACCTAATTTTTGCTCATGCTGTTCAGACCTTGAAAGCAGAAATAAACCTGACTCAAAACCTCAGTTTTTTGGGGGCTAAATTTTCATTGTTAGGGTGAGTATGGGATTATCTTGCTCAGAAGAATGTGAGTAAAGGCTTCAGAAGGCATTGTAGGAGTAGTGAAATGCCAAATGTCAGTCAGTTACTAAGTCAGTATCTGCCTAGGCTACCCATGGAGCTCTGACTAGAAAATAAAAATATAGGTAATACTTTACTTCCCTCTTTAAATGAATGTTTTTATAAATGCCAGAAGCATTACAGTCAATATGAATTTTGTTTCCCAAACACAGTTATAGCTTGCAGGAGTGCACAGTGCAAGTGCCTTGTGTTAGGGGTTACTGGAGCTTGTCAGTGCTGTTGTCACAGTTCTGTCCCCGGCTGCTGACACAGAGCTGAGCTGGCAAAGCCTCTCCTGCCTACACACCTGCCTACATTTGCCAATGGAACAACTTCTCCCAAGGAATTCGATTGAGCTTTCCAAGTCTTTTTCCTGCTTCCCTGCTTGCAGGGGCCTGTGGTAGAGCTGAGGTTCCATGTGCAGCTGCACTGAGAGCCCCCTGCACAGGGTGGTGCTCACCCTGCAAACAGCACAGACTGCTAAAAGTGCAGTTCTGCAGCTCAGGTTACAGCAGTGTGAGGCACTTGTGCCAGCACAGCTCTCTTGATTAGGGGTTGTAGCCCTAAGTGTTCCTGACTTGTGCAGTTGTGACAGGCAACACCTGTAGTACAGATAGGATCTGTTATTAAATTAAATCTTTGTGTTTGCCAGATATCTGATGGGCCTGCTGCTAAAGGGCCTTGAGTATTTCTAAGAGAAATTGCTATTCAGCTGAATTTAACTGTGAGAACTTCTGGCTCAAAGAAGCTCTTTTTGTCTGTAATGCCTGGTGCCATTCTCATTCTGTGCATGACCTACCCAGCAGTCCATCCCTTTTTTTCCTTGACTGCTTGGGTCCTGTGTGCTGCAATCTGAAGTAACAGGGTTTTAACCTAAAAGACATCAAAATAAACCTCAGTGTGTGTGTGTGTTTTGCTTGGCATAAACCAGGGAGCTGCTCTGTGTTTTTGCTTGGTGCAGTTCTGTTGTGCTGTGGAGTCCCTCCTTGTCTTTGCTCTCTGTGTGCTGCTAATCTGATAATCTGCTCTGCACACACATGCAATTCCTCACTTCCAGGAGGTGCCACACTCCCTGCTGTCCTGTGTGAGCACAGGTTTCCATCCTGTGAGGCACTGGCCCTTCTGTGAGGCTTATGTAAGGTAAGTGAGCAGCCTGACAGAAGCCATGGAAGCCTGAAGGTGTTTTAGTTTCAGACACAGCAGAGAATTTATAATGTGTGACTAAAGACATTTTAATTTGGAAAGGTTAATGTCTTTATTATTGCAAGTACAGAGACCAAATGAGTGTACCTTGTTATTAAGGGAAGCTGTTTCTTCTTGGAATTAATCAGTTTCCTTGTATTTTAAAAATTAAGCTGTTAAATTGGTTTGCTCTAAAGTTTATTTTGAGGTTAAACTCTTCATTATTTTCTGCTTTTAAAAGTATTGATCTTGTGTAATTTATACCTTTATTAAGTCTCATTTTTCATTATGGAAAAATCTAGAAGGTGATTGAAAACTTGTTTCTGCATCTTTGAAAATTTCAAAAAAGTAGTTATTTGTTTACATTTTAAATCTCATTAGTTGATTGTCATCAGCACTGTGTGTAAGTCTCATTTTTCATTATGGAAAAATCTAGAAGGTGATTGAAAACTTGTTTCTGCATCTTTGAAAATTTCAAAAAAGTAGTTGATATTTGTTTACATTTTAAATTGTCATCAGCACTGTGTGCTGGTATGTGGTGTCATGTGAATGTGCACTTTCTAGGCTTTCCTGTACCAAAGCAGGATAAGTGTTCATGCCATGAATATTTGAAAGAATTTTTCAGCACCAAACATAAAAAGGCAGAATGTCTGCAGTCCACAAAGCTCCACTGAAATGTCCTGGTGTCCCAGCTGCAGAGAGGGGTGCAGATGGGCACTGCTGAATAATTCCTGGCACCTCAGGGTCCTACAGTAACTTCCAAGGGAGATTGAGGAATGGGATCTCAACAGATGTGTAGAAACCTCTGGATTCATTTTTTGCTCACCTGCTCTCTCTGGTCATCTCACTGCATTGGTGTGCTCAGGTGTCCTTGGGGAGCTTTGCCCTCCTGTGGTGTTGGTACCATAAACACCCTTTCCACCACCTTCAAAGGGTGCAGATTCTTCATCCTCTGCTTCAGCCATTTCTGGCTTGGGACAGCCTGATCTCCCAGACCAGTTCTTTTCCATTACTTTTGGCAGAAACTCAATGGGATACTCCCCAGCACTGAAAAATGAGGCTTTACAAGGAGTAGAGCCTGTCTGTAATGGGAGCTGGGGAGGTGAGGGCACAAGCAGCAGCTCTGAGCAGACTGAGGTGTGGTGTGAGACTGGACTGTAGGTGTCCATGGTGCCATCCCTGACAAATTATTACCCTGCCATGCTCTGTGCATCAGACATTGAAATACTGTCCTGATACTAAAAGCTCCCTTAAAACTAGATCTTGGTGATATTTTGTCTTAATTTGGATGTAAAGAACTGTTCCTCCTGGCCTAGAGGAATTATTGCTTCCTGTGGTGTTTAAGAAGAGCACAGGTTTCTTAAATCAGGCTGGGTTTTTCCTGAGGAGCTTGGCTGTGTTACTGCTCAGTCTACATCTTGCAAATGTAAAAGCTTGTTAAATTTTTAAAATGGGAATAGTACATTGACTCTAGAATAGGAAGAAATGAACTGCCACTTTTAAGTTCTACGTATTGTAGGTAGAGGAGGTGATGGCTTTGTTTGTTATCTTGGAATTAATTTAGTGTGTTTAATAATAGGCAGCAAAGCACTTAGAGGTAAGTGTTACAGGTTTTGTAGTGTTATTTCTCTTTGGTTTTCTTCTTTTAGGTCTAACTATAAGCATTGAAGTGCTGTGATTTTATGCAAACTTGATTTATAACATGATATTTCAAATATAAACTTCTGGCATAAAATTCTTGTGTTTATCAGGAATATTGGGACTTTTGACCTTGAGCTCCAGCTTGGCTATAGCAGGCAGGCAATGATATAGTAACTTATTTGGAGTACAGGGGAGGAGTTAGGGCAACGGTTTTTGTGTGTCACAATATCCAGACTTAAGCTTTAGGACTGTCACCTCTCATTCTTCAGCTCTCATTGCCTTTCTTTGTCACAAGGTGCATCTCACAACTGTTTGGAAGAAGTTTCCCTTCCTTCATAAGATGCTTAAAATTAGCAAGCAGTGGATATGTTTTACATGAAAATAAAAGACTGGCTGTTCTGTGGAATCTTTCTGTTGCTTTCCATGCCACTAGAGTATCTGTCCTTGCATCTTTCATGGCTGAGCTGGTGGAGGGAGCATCTCCAGAGCCAGGGCAGAACCTGTTCCTGCTCTTCTTGGAGTCACTGAATTTGCACTTTTGTCCCTGCTCTCACTGGAACTGCTTGTTCCTGTACAAAGTAGGTGATGCCCTACTGGCATCCATAGGGCTGCTTTTGTAGTGCTTGTCGATGTGAGGGATGAACTGTGCTGCTGCTTAGCAGAAAGTGCAGGTTTCCCAGCTGTCATCTTTACCAAAAAAGGATGCTGCATAATTTTCAATGGGATCAATCTTCTGAGTAGGAGTGCATCAACTGAGCCATGCCAGCATTTATTTGCATCAGAAATTAAATCCTTACATGAGTTCTCACACTGTTTTTGTTTTGCTCATGTGATTATATTTGCTGATTAGGAATTTTTAACACTTAAAGGAGGTTAGCATAGGCCAATCCCAGTAACTCTTTCACAGGGATTAAAATGAGACAGTGGAAATTGGGACTGAAATCACTGTTATATCACCCTGGAAAGGATGTTTTCTTCTCTGTTGGTAACATCCTGCAGTTTCTTTGATATTTAAGAAACCTGACTGCGATATCATTGTTTCAGCCAAATACTTTGCATATAAAGAAAATTTTGAAGAAACCTGTAGAAAAATACATCTAAAAACCAGGTACAAGTCATTCTAACTGAAGCTAGTATCTTACATACTGGGACAGACTGGATTTCTGTTAGGACATGGACATGAAATTGGTCACTAATGAATGATACCTGCTTTGAAAACCTAACTGGTGTAAAATCATGCTTTGAAATTCTTAGCAGATGCAGAGAGTGTCTTCTCACCAACTCTCATGTTCAGAACCTTACGCTGGCCATTGTAATTTTTGAGATTTCCATCCTGTCCTTGGGGCATGGCCATTGCATTTCCTTAATGTATCTAAAACTGTAACTGGAGTTTCGGTATGAAGACTGTAAAAATCTAAAAGATGTAAATGTTGTCTATCACAAGTCTTAAATAGGAGTGAATCTTCTTTCCATGGGTGTTTGTGTAGGGGTGAGTACCTCTGTGATCTTTCAAAATCACAGACGTTCCTGTGGAGTTCAGTAGCAGATAAGAATGAACAGGTGTCAGGTATTAATCGTTTGGACTAAAGTATTTGTGCAAGGGCTGCTGTAATCCCTAATGAGGTGCCAGCTTTGGGGCAATTACAGCAAATTGGCTGAGCCTTCAAGGGTGCTGACATCCAAGATCAGGGAATAAAATGTGGCATATTTTGCTATCTAGGTGTGAGAATGAGAGAATAAAGATCACTGGTCTTTCATGCATGTTCCTCAAACACTGAATAAAATCCCCAGTAAGCTGAAGAATTTATCCTGACTATTAACAGACTTTATCTGCAAGTCCTCAGATAAACAAGTAGTGACTTTTTGTGGGATGGATTTTGTTCATGTTAAAGGTTTTATTTAGGCTTCCTTTCAAGATCATTTCTTAGAGTGAAGTCTTCCCCTTACCTGAAGCATGGTATTCTTAATGCAGTTAAAATAATCAGTTCCAGTAAAGACAAAACCTTTATGCTGTCAGAGGACCCATTGGGCTTTTATTTCCTCCTCAGGGAAATGAGAAAAAATAAAAGTGGAAATTCCCATCTGAATGAGTATTTGTCATCATTTATTGAATCGTTCTTTACCTAGGGAAAAAAAAAACCAACAAACAAAAAAATGGGCAAATGTTGATGTTCTTGAACAAGTTGCTCTATCACCTCAAGGATGTTATCTTGGGCACCCTGAAAAGGCTTAATGAAGTCAGCAGCAGCAGATCCAGGTGTCTTCAGCCCATCCTGCCATGAACATCTCAGCTCTGTGTTACTGGCAGAGATAATCTCTCCTTTTCACCTGTGATTGCTGCGTGCTGCCTCACAATGGAAGGCAGTAGATAAGAGAATGCTTCCGGTGAGGTTTTGTCTGAATGTGAAAAGGAGATTACAGGGGGTTGTTGTTTGATTAGTGAAGGTGTGTTGGAAATTGTGTTTAGTGTCTCTTGTGAGGTGTTGCAGTAGCAGGATTTGAAATTTGGGACTCTCTTTTCAGTCTCTGAGTAATTTGGCTTCTGAGGCTGCTCTGGAATGTCTTCAGTCTGTTTATTGAAAACCACAAGGGTTTGCAGTAGTTGGAGAATCCACAGGGCTACTGAATGTGAGTGCTGGGCTCTCTTCTCTTGCAGTGTAGCAGCCCTGTGATTTTGGGTTTGTTACTACTTGAGAATAATTGACCAAATAGAAATTTAAAGCTTGTGACAGTTCTGTGATTTTTCTAGGTTACAATACCTCTGTGCTTCCATTGCTTCTGGAATTTAAGTCCATAATGAAATCAAGTGCCTCATTTATTTGGAAAATTTGAAAGACTTTACCTGAAAACTTAATGGGAGAGGAAAAGAGTAAATAAATATTTCCTTGACTGGACCTTCTTTCTTGAGATACTGTGCATCATCTTTATGCTCCACTTCCAGCGAAGTGACTCTTCTGTTTCACTGGAATGCTCATGCTACTGCAGCGACTCTGATTTGTATTTCTGAATTCATTTATAGTTGGTCTAAAAACCCTAGACATTTTCTCACTGGAGACTGCTTCTCACAGAAGCTGTGAACCTCAGCAGGAACTCGGCCTTTTCAATATATGTTTGTTAATGTTAGCTTGCCCATCATTTATAGAGTTTTTTTGCCTCTGTTTTTCAGAGGAACAAAATATCCCTTCTAATATTCTACATAGTATTAGACATAGTTACCTAACATGGAAAGACAGGATGGTGCTGATGGGAATTGTCTACTAGGGGAAATAAATAATTTTTAGTTTCCAGCTGGAACTTCCAATTTCAGAAATGTGATTAATATAGTATGTTAGGAGAAATAAGTAAAACCCTGGATGTTCAGCTCGTTTAAAACAAGATTGCCAGTTTTGTGCTTGTGTTGGCATTTCTGTCAATATCTCAGCTGCAGTTGAACACTGAACTTAAGAACAAACAACAAAATGAACAAAAAGTCCCACTGAATCTGGAGGAGAAAGAGGTATTTGAAGATTCCAAAGCTGCCATATGTTGTAGTAAATATTTTTGCAGGCAGTTTGTAGAACATTTGCTTAGAAGTGGGAAGTGTAGTTGAGAGTTGAGGCTTCATCCTTTTATTTTGATAATACTTGATTTTTCAGCTTCTTTTAGGCACTTAAGTTTAGTCTGTATTAATATGCAATTCTGCAAGAGCAGGTGCATGTAAAGTAAGTATGAAACTTCCTCTTTTTCATGAAAAATATTTTGAACCACATAGGAAAGGAAAAAGTGGAGATACTAAACAGTAACAAGAAGCAACCAGGCATTTTACAGCAAACATAGGGGATCTGTAACTTCATGGTTTAAATGCACTGTATATTTATATCTCTCAAATTTGGAATGGTCTTAAAACTGGAGTTCCATAAATCTTTTTCCCATAGGTAATGGTGATAATATAGGTAATAGCAATTAGATAATATCTGCTACAGCAAAAAGAAGAATTATTCTGGCATAGAATCTTTGTTGTTTCCAGGTGTCACAGGTGCTGCTGCTGTTCTCTGTTAAATCAGAGCTGGACCCTGTGCAGCTGAGACACTGGGTGGGCTGTGAGTGACCCTGGAAAATGCACTTTGTGTTCAGCCAGCTGTGTCTCCTAAGGGATGGTGCTGGTGCTGGGTTTGGAATGTTGGGGAATTGTGATACTTGGTGACTCAAACATCATTTGAAGAGCAGGTTGCACACAGGGCCTTGAATGCCCAGGTGCAGCACTGAGCACAGCCCTGCACACAGTTCCTTCCTCAGGGTAAATACCCAAACAGGAGGTACCTTTTGTGTGTGCTACAGGCTGTTTCACAGTTTAATACAGAGTGAAATGAAGTGATGAGCTGCCTGTCCTCTCCCTTTAGGCATATCACTGAAAAATTGCATGATGTGTGATCAGTTGGAGATTCTGAACAGGGAGATTGAAAGGTTCTTACGGAACTACACCATGGAAGGAGGCACTTTAAACTCAGTGACAGTCCCTGGATACAATCCCTGGTTCAGGCAGTGAGCAAAATACGTATTAGAGCCATGAGATACAGCACCAGGGTCTTTATAATGAGTGTGTTCTGTTCTTTTTTGCTGTTTAATTTTTCCTCCTGTTCTTGGAGTGGTTGGCTGAGGCAAAGAATGTACATAATCCCCTATAGAAAAGGCACAGGGGGAAGAAGAAATGCTGACGTGAGTCCAGCTCTGTACTCCAGTTAGTACAGTTGGTATTGTTTTTACTAATTCTGCTCTGCCACAGTCATGCAAGTCTTGAGATTTGTAATTCATGAAATAAAATGATGCACTGATGAAAAATGCATTTGGGGAGGGTTTTGTCTTTTCTCCATTCCTTATTTTTTGGGACAGTGACATTGGAGAACACCTAGAGATTATTATTGCTTAGGAAGTCAGAAGTGGTTTTTGAAGAGCTCAGATGCTTTAGGAGCTGAGGCTTCAGAGATTTGTAAAAAAAAATAAGGCACTGTTTAAAAAATGAAGTTAGACTATATATTGGCATGTCTGAGGGATTATCTAACCTATTTTAAAATTTGTATGTCTCCTCACCTGAAGTATTAATAACCAATTTTTATTCCTTTCAGAGAACTATTGCTGTTTTAGTTGTCCCACACCTGCTGTGGCAGTTCCCCTGCATCCTTCATTGCAGGGTGCTGACTCACAGGGTCTGTGTTCAGTTTCGTTCTTTTGTCTTCCCTAATTGATGTCATAGTCCAGTTCATCCTGTCCAGCTGGTCCTCCTTTCCCTCCCAAATTCTTTTCCAGTGCTCTTGTACTCTGGTAGGCTGCTTTGGGTTAGTGCAGGCATTGCCTGCTGATGATCAGACTCAGGCACTCAAAGCTGGATTTGTATAAATCAGTAAATCTACCCTGTTGTAAGTTGGGCCATGCTAATGGAGTTGAAAAGCGTTTCTGTATTTTCATTGACAGGCTGCACTTAGTAAATTCCACTCCCAGAATGCTTTTAAATGCTGCACAAGGACTAAATTCTTTATTACAGTTTTGTTGCTGTTCTGGAAATCTTAATTGAATCTAAATGAATTAATGAGAGTGCAATAATCTTCTGTGTTTTTTTCAAAGGTCTTGGCTGTTGGTAACTGGGGAGGTGGTATTACTTAATTTTGACTTTTTTTCCCAGTTCCAGTGTATTTCTGAAAGTGCAAAACTGTCAAGAAGACAAAATAATGGAATTTACTTTATAATGTAATAGAAGCAAAACAATCCCAAATTTAGTTAAACAACAGTAAGAGATGTTAATAAATATATCGATGCCTTTTTTTGTCCCTCTGTGTTTTCCAGGAGCCAGCAGGAAAAAGAGGATTGATTGATAGCATTTGGACCTGCTGAGATTCAGTGTGGCCCTTGTGAGTCAGGAAATTCAGCATGTGCTGGCTGGAGGATGCTGAACGATTCTGATCCTGTGCTGCCCTCCTCTGGCTCAGCCCTTCAAGGAGAAACCATTCGAGCCTCTGATGCTGTGTCAGGTACTGAGGACATTGGAGAGCCTTCTTAGTTATTTCTGTTTTAGCTGAAATTTCGATCTCAGAATTTGGGTAACCTCTGCTTTTAGGTTTGAACATTTCTTCATATTCCAGAGTACACAAAGATGTAAACTTTAAATGTTTTGACTTGCTCCCTTAATTATATTGTGACATTTTTGCTACAAATATAATTTTAGTGCTGTTTAAAAAAAAAAAAGTTGAAAATTTATTGTTAGTTGTTTTTTTTTTAATGGGGGAACTTAAAGGAATTTCATACTGGATTGAGACAGTTTGAGATCTTTGCCTGTGTGCTGCAGGCTTAAATTTCACTTTTTATTCTGTCTGTAATGTTAAAAGTAATCAGTTGCTATTTAAATTAATGTTCTGACGTCTGCTGCTTTTCCAGGGACATTTATAGTATTCACAGTTACAACTGAAGTGTTAATTTTTTCAGCATATCTGCATAGATTTTTGTTTCCATAGCATTGCCCCATAACGTTTCTGTTCCAGCAGTGTTAAATGTAACACTGAAAGCAGAGGATTTGCAGAGGAGGCACTGTGTTAAGACAGAACAGTGATGGAAGTGATGCAGTATATGGAATAAGGAGGCATTTATTCCCAGGAACACTGGAAAACTGGGAAAAGCTTGCTGAAGGATGTCTCTGAAAACTTGTAGCTGTGTTATGTACAGCTGTTAAAAACATCTGATTCTTCAGTGCTGTTATCTAGAAATTCTGCTTATGTTCCCTTTTGGGAACCAAAATGTTCCCTTTTGGTGTACCTTTGCAATTCCTCAGCCAGGGATACCATATCCAGAAACATCCTTGGGGAGAGTTGTGGTGTGTCCTTTGTTTTCAAATTGCAGTTCCCTGGGAGCAGTGTCACTGCAGTGGCTGCAGGGCAGTGTCTGTGCCCCTAGGAGCAGTTCCAGGGCATGCAGCTCATTGGAAATATATCAACTTTAATACTTGTTCAAACCAGGTTATTCCTGACGTTATCAAAATACAGATCCTCCATGTATTTCTGTCACTTGCTTCTGCCTTTTCAAATAACAGTCTTCTAATAAGCTGGAAAAGACTTTTGAGAAAACAGATCTGGTTGTCAGGTTTTCATATTTTTTTGTAGTTGAGTCTGTGACAGTGAGAGGTTCTTTGCTGAATCAGGTTGGTTTTTTTGGGTCATTCTGGTAGATCACGTAGGCTGAAAACATTTTTGTAAATAACCATGTCAAGGACCAGCCTTTCTTGCATTTCATTCCACACAGAAGTGAGTGGAACTGCTGTAGAGCTTTTGCCCAGACAGTCCCCAGGGGGTAGATTCATACCATGAAGGAGTTATTTGTTTGGTTGTTTTTTCTGAGAAATACCAGAAAATATCAGAAATCCTAATGCTTCTCAATAAAATGTCAGTACAGTCAGTACAGACCTACATGTTTAACTTAGTACCTTGAAGTGAGAAATACCAGAAATCCTAATGCTTCTCAATAAAATGTCAGTACAGTATCCAGACCTACATGTTTAACTCAGTACCTTGAAAGAACATTTTTGGCTTGTTACAATTAATACTGAAATCAGAATGTTTACTGATTGCTTGGGCTCTGAATATTTTTGAGTGAGAGGTTTGGACATTTTGTTTCTGTTCAGCATTTCAGAGTGGGAACAGTGTTGCCTGTGCTATGGAACAAGCTGGAAACACAGTGCCCTTAGAGTCTGAACCTAATACTGACAACATGGAAAACAGTTCTCCTGGTAAGAATTCTTCCTTTGCAATTAAAAATGTGCTTATTTGTCTGTCATGTATGTATGTGTGTAAATTATTTTAAATAACTCAAGAGTTTGTAACAGGAACAGCTGGATTATGTTGTTACAGTGATCAGTGATGTATTTAATTGCTACTGCTGTTGTATTAAATTCACAAGAAAGTATTTTTTTGAGGCTCATCATATGAAGTAGAGATACACAGATGTCACAAATAAAGTGAGAAAAGGTTTTAAGAAAGCGCATCATTCATCACCACCACTTTATTAACTTTTCCCTTGTTTTTAGCATCAGTGTTGGATGATAAAGGTGAGCAAAGCAATGAGGAGGAACAAAAATCTGTCAAGCCAACGAGTAAAGAGTTCAGGAAAACCTGGGGGTTTCGGAGGACCACGATTGCCAAGAGAGAGGGTGCAGGAGATGCTGATGTGGACTCCAGTGAGCAGCAGCCTCAGCAGCAGCAGCAAGGCATAAACCTGAGGAGGAGCGGGCGGCAGCCCAAGCGCACAGAGAGGGTGGAGGAGTTCCTGACCACGGTGAGGCGCAGGGGCAGGAGGAGTGTTCCCACCACCCTGGAGGACTCCAGTGAAGCAGCCTCTGGGCCAGCCACTGATGCTGAAACTGCTTCTGAAGACAGTGTTGAGAGCACTCCAGATACAAAACCTGTCACTAGGAGGATTTGCACCAGGAGTTGTAAGGAGCAAAAAAGCCCTAAAGTTGGACCCACAAAAGAGGAAGAGGAAGAAGAGGAGGAGGAGGAAGAAGAGGAAGAAGCTACTTCTGATAGTGACAGTGATGGGTTGACACTAAAGGAGCTGCAGAATCGCCTAAGAAAGAAACGTGTTGAGCAGAAACCTCAGGTGGTGTTGAAGGATGTGCAGAATCACCTGAGAAAAAGGAATTCAGAAAAAGATCCTGCCAAAACAGGTGATGTCACACCCGAAAAACAGAATGAGTCTGAGCTGCCTGTCAAACAGGAGCCTGAGACTGCAGACAGCACTGAGATTGCAAGTCAGGTGGTTGTGTCTGAGGACACCGAAGATTTTGAGGCTCAGAAGGAGGAGAAGCCTGCCCTTGGTGCAAAGGGAGCCTCAGATGAGGAAGCTGAAGAACAGCCCAAAAGCAAACCCGAGTCTGAGATCTACGACCCAAACGCCCTGTACTGTATTTGTCGTCAGCCTCATAACAACAGGTAGGCAAAGGGCTCAGCTGCAGACACTGTGCAAGGACTTGGAATTTTTCTATGATTAAAAGTTAAGCTAGATGCTAGTGGTAACTTTTTGGTTGGGCTTTTGGGTATGCTTAATTTTGGCAGGGAGTTTATAGAACAAACGCTTAAAAAGAGGATAGACAAATAGAGAAATAAGCAGTGAGGCAGAACTGTGCACTGGTGCTTTATTGGGGTGCTGAAGTTGTTGCTTGAAATATTGAGTGTTGTCTTTTCATTTCACAGTGTTTTACTGTTCCTTGATGGGTTTTTTTTTCAGGTTTATGATTTGTTGTGATAGATGTGAGGAATGGTTTCATGGTGACTGCGTGGGTATTTCTGAGGCTCGAGGGCGATTGTTGGAGAGGAATGGTGAGGACTATATCTGTCCAAACTGCACCATTCTCCAGGGACAGGATGAGCCTGTTTCAGAACTAGACCAGCAGGAAGCTAAAATGGAACCAGGAAATGCGGATGGCACAGAATTTACAAGCATAGGAACAATTGAACAAAAATCAGTTGAGGACCAAGGAATCAAGGGTAGGATTGAAAAAGCTGCAAACCCGAGTGGAAAGAAAAAGCTAAAGATATTTCAACCTGTAAGTATTTTAATTGTTTCTTATTTTTCACATTTCAGTGAGTCCATGGAGACAATGACCTGTATGGCTATAAATCTGACCTGATTTTAAAGCTACACATAAACTGAACAGCCCACTGAACACTGCTGGTTAGCAAAAGTTTATCCATAGTTCTATCAGTACAGGAATTAAATTTAGTTTCAAGTGTGAGGGATTTAAAAGTTTTATATAGGTGTAGGAAGTAGTTTGTGCTGTTCTCCCTTCTTGAATACTGTTTTGGAAGTTGAACAATGATGTGTTCTTTTAATAAAAATACTAGAATGATGTGCTGTTTTATACTATCTTTGATATAATCTCAAACATTTTGGACATTTTCAATGGTAGTGAACCTTTTTACTTAACATGAACAAGTCTCTGTTGGAGTTAATTCCAGCTGTACTTCCAGTTACTCTTTGAAGCTCTGATTTTTGTCCTATACTGCTTTAGGTTATCAGCAAATAGGGAATTTCTTTATACTGCCTTTTTCTATCTAAAAATGTGTATTTTGAACTATTTCAAAATTTGAAATTTAAATTTTATAATAAAAAGTTCCATGCCCAATTGGAAAGGCATAGAAGCTTCTTCAGCTTAATGTACATGAAGTAAAAAACCAAGTGCTACAGTGGTCTGTTCTGCCTAAGGTGCTGCAGTAGTGCCAGTGTCTTGGGCATTTCCCTTTAGATTTCAGAGCTGACCATGGCAGCACAGTGAGATTAATGTATAGATAGCACAGTTTGAGCTGAATATATAAATATTTACTGTTTTCCACACATTTGCCTTAAAACAGTATTTTCAAAAATATTTTCAAATACATTTGTACACAAAGGTTTTTGGGAGTTCATTGCTGTTGGTGGTGGCTCTGCTGCTGAATATCACCAAGTGCTCTTTACTTCCCTGTTAAGTGTGTACATAATGGGAAAATTCCCAAATCCAGGTTTTATCAGGCTGCTGCAGATAAAGCTGTGTATTGACTTTGGATTGTGGAGATTTCAGTTGCACTATGCAAATAATGTTTATTTAACTAGAAATATTCCTGAAAAATTTACTTTGAGTAATTGCACATGATGAGAGGCTGTTTAGAACTAGAGTAGTTGTGAGTGTCTTGTGTCATTTTTAGGAGTAATTTAGAAGAGAGGCTAAAATCACAATATGTAGGGATGACAGGTTGGAGCCTAAAGTGCTTTCAGGTATTTCTAGACCTCAACTTAATGCACTGTGTTTTCAAGGAACGTGTATTTTCTGAATCATAACATTGGAAGAGGAAGTTCTTAATCTGTAACACCTTGATATAAATGGAGAGTGATTTTGAATTAGAGGAAAATTCAGGTTGCAGAGACAAACCTGTAAATTTGTAAGGAGTAAGAGGCTATGTGAACATTGTGTATAAGAATGCTTTTTTATGTAAGTTGGAGACTTTTAAAATTAAAATTGGGGAAACCTCTAGAGCAAGAATAATCTATACACCTGAATATTTGTGTGCTTCCTCTTGCATGTGTGCATGGCTGAGGGCAGCAGCTGATGGGCATGGTTTAGAGACCTTCCTGTTGAGAACCCAGCTTTGCATTGTTAAGGACATTTCTCACATCATGTGGAGGATCAGTGAAAAGCATTTGTGTACTTATGGGGTTTGAAAATTTAAGAAACCAGCCTCCTTTATCTCAGGGCTAGCGGACCAACTTTGTGTGCTTCCTCTTGCATGTGTGCATGGCTGAGGGCAGCAGCTGATGGGCATGGTTTAGAGACCTTCCTGAACCCAGCTTTGCAAACACTTGAAAATACAGCACATAGTGAAAAAGGTGTTAGAGAAGTGAAATTCTTGCATTTGTATGGGTTGTTTGTATTGTGTCATGAACAGCTGTTGTTTTCACGCTGGCAGTTGTGCAGGTCAGAGCTGCAGAGTCTGCACGTGAGCTGTGTAAGCATTTCTCCATGTTCCTGCTGTTTCCCCTTTGAAGTGTGACCTCACTCCATTCTCTCTGTATTTGGAGGTAATTGAAGCTCCTGGTGCTTCCAAGTGCATCGGCCCCGGCTGTTTCAACGTGGCCCAGCCCGACTCCGTGTACTGCAGCAATGACTGCATCCTCAAACACGCTGCTGCCACCATGAAGATCCTGAGTTCTGGCAAGGATGCAAAGCCAAAACCTAAAGAGAAGATCAAACCAAAATCTGAAAAGCCTGGCATTCCAAAACCTCAGCAGCAGGTAAGCTTGTGTTCATGATCCAGTCTTATTTCTGTGCTCTGCTTTTTGACTCAAATAAAACTGCAGAGTCCTGCATTGAAGAGGAGCTTTCTGTTACTTTTTTTGTTGTTACTTTCTTGCCTTTTCCTGTGGTAAGGATAATAAAATGTTTTTCTGTAGATTTAAAAAAAATCTTAATAATTGCCTCTAGATGGAGATAGTTCCTTGCGAGGGCCGTCTAGATGGCAACGACTTTTTAAAAAGTACTATTTTAAGTAATTACATCTTTTTTATCTTTAAGTCAAATTAATTTTGGCTTTTTAAACTAAAATTCAGGTTACTGGGTTTTGGAGTAATGAAATAATTTCAAATGGTGCACTATAAAAGTAAGGAGTTTGCTATAAAATGGTATGAGATGCAATAAATGTGATGATTCTTAGTAATCAAGCTAATTAATTATCCAGGTGGGCATCAAACCAGTTTCAAACCAAAAGAGACAGTTCCCTGAGAAAAGAGAGGTGAATGTGAAGAAGACTGTTGTGAGCACAGCCAAGACTGAGGCAAACAGCCAAGCTCCTGCTCGAGAGCCAGCGGCAGAGCCCGTCACGCCGTCCTGGGCCAGCGATCATAATTACAATGCTGTAAAGCCTGAAAGGACTGCTGCCATTGCACCTGCACTGTTGTTCAAATGTATGTATGGCTTAGGGATATTCCTGAATAATCATATTTTCTTTGAATACCCATCCATTCTTGGCTCTGCAAAACTAGGGAGTTTAGGATTTGGGGGTTTTTTCTTACTGTGGCACCAAACTACTTTTCTCCACCTTCAGAGATTCACACACAGATACACACAAATGAGAGACATTTTTGGGGTTTTCATATGTATCATATGACAGTTGTATGATTAAGATCCTGTCAATCTACCCATCTGATTTCTGGATGAAAACTGCATGGTTAAGCTTGAAATCTTTCCCATAAAGAAAGTGTCTGTTTCTAATCTAGAAGGTAAGTATTGAGACATTGGTGTTAAGTTTTACAAAAAGGTTGTGCAATGTGCACTGTGAATCAGCAATTGCCTGTACTAATTTCAATTGTATTTTTGTAATTTAGATTTGGCACCTGTCTCTCAGGTCTTGCATTTTCAGTGCCTGGTGCCGAGAGTGAAATCTTCAACGTGGTATCCAACGATACTTGACACCTCTGCAAACTGCTTTTAACTGTCAAGTATTCTCCTGCTACTTTTCTTTCTTACATGAAATAACTTAAAGATCATCCTTTTATGCTGGGCGGGGGGAGGCAGAACTCTTATTATCTTTATTTTCTTTATTTGTTTTCCCTTTGGTCATATTCCACACATTATCCACACACACAAGAGCACATCTCAACTGGATGTTGGGCAGAGATACTGCCTTGCATATTTTTGCAGGTTTTGAGTAGCATCCTTGTAACTCATGCAAAGGTAAGTAAATACTGCTTTGAAGCCTGAACAAGTCTTTTTGCTTATGACATTTTCTTGATTGACTCACTCTGAGTAGTTTCATAATGCAGTTATGGAACTTGAGTTACAAACCGTGTGACCTCTGCTTTACTCCTTTGAAGAGTAATGAATCAGAAATTCAGTTCTCACAGCTTTTGTAACAGCACTTCAGCCAATTTACATTTTATTTCGATAAGTAAACCTAATTATTGACCACTTACATGTAAAGTAACAGATAACTTTTTAAATAATATTTCAGATGAGATTTTCTTGTTGGAGCTTTTAAGCACTGAGGGAACACCAGTTAACCTAAATTGCTGTTGATGAACATGGCCTATACCATGTTTATTTTAATGATCTTTACCCACATCAAGTTAAATGGTTGTAATTTTTCCCTGTGTATTTTTGCTGCATATTAGGCCCTTGACCTCTTGTATAGTAAACTCCCTTAAGATATATATTTTAATTAACTTCCGTTCCTTTTACATTATTTTAAAGAAAATTTAGCTTTTTTTATCAGAAACAGTAGTGTTTTAAACATAACTAAAATTAGTAAAAAGACATAAATGAAACTATAAGAGCTTATTTTTGGTCAGATTTTTCTGACTCTGACAGTTACAGGTATCCATAGAACTATTTCACTTAAAATGTCCTTATTCCTATAGGGTTTGTTTTTTTCCTAAGAGACAGGAATACAGGTTTTGAGGCAGGATGTTTGAGGGTTTTTTTAAAAGGAATTTGCTCTTGAGTTTTACCACACTGTGGGTTTTACAGATTTAACCACTTCCAGTAGAAAACTGGATTCTTGAAGCTAAATAGTGAAATTGATTCTAAAACATTGTAAATACCAGACTTTAGCAACAGAGAACAGCCTAGTTCGTGTGATGAAGAACTCTCATATCAAATGCAAGGAAGAACTTCAGATTTTTTTTTTTTCTAAGGTAAGTTGCATTGATATGTGGGAACTCTGGCATTACTAAATGCCCAGATAAAATTGTTAGTGTATTTGTGAGAAAATGTCTCCTGCTTTTCAGTGGATAGGTCTGAGCTGTAATCTTCCTGAGAAGCTGCCAGTGCACCATCTGCAAAAGTACTCTACCAGATTTTATTTCTGTAAGAAATCTTCATATGCTGTTCAAAACCTAAGAGTTACAGCATTAGGGAAATTCATGAGCGTCCTCTCACTTCACTTCAGGTATCTAAGAATGAGAAGTCTCTTAAGTCTGAGCTAGTCTGTCAAGGAAGACATGTTTATTGGACCAAACAGAGTCTGGTTTAGATAAAGATCTTAAAACCAAGCAACCTCCACTTTAGAAATCTGCATTTCTGAACATTGATTATGAAGGACTTGTAGTCCAGAAGAGGCAAAGGACTTCCAAATGCAGTATTTCAGAAGGCTGCCTGTGTTTCCAGAGCTTCCAGCCATGTTCACCAAATCCTCGTTTGCAGCTTCAGTGCAGGAGGCATTTTAGGAATGAAGAAAACTTAACCTGATTGACAGAATCACTGTCTAATACTCTTTACATCAGACAGTTTATCATTTCAAACATAGATTTATTTTATGTATTTACTCAGTACTTGTGAGTTACAAGACTTTGTTACTACATGAGATAGTTGTTTTGTTAAGTAAAACCAAGGAAATCAAGTCACTTTCAAAGATGTTCTGGGTGGTCAGAGCATATAGAGTATTTCCATCTAAGCCTACCACCAGGGCCCTTCTCCCAACCTGTTCTGCATTTGTTTAACAAAAGGGATATTTGGTGCTACTACTGTGCAGTTATGCAGAAGTCACACATTTTTTTTCCTTCTGTTACCCCATTACTTTGTGTTGCTTCACTTTCTAACTTTCCTGTGTCTTTTCCGGATATGAGTTAGGGCTGTACTTGGAAGTGACTTGGTACATCAGAATCTGGTGCCTGAAAAATGACACTGTCTTTCTTTTTTCATCTTTCTGTGCCCAGTGAAAACAATCCTTTTAAAAACTAGTGTGGGAAATACCTTGATTTGATAAACTAATATTAAGTCCAGGTACTTCTAAAGTTTCAGACAGCATTTGAAGTATACAGGTAAAGGGGAATTAGCTCTGAGTCACATTCCCTTTCAGAAGAGTTGCTTTTACTTTTGTTAGGAAAATTAATATTAATTTAATATGCAGTGCTCAGCTCTTATATTGCATTTCAGAAGTCATCCTGGCTTCTAAATTCATACAAGTATTTGGATTGTTGAGATTTATGAATATTGTTCAGAGATCCATGTTACAACAGCAACACTTGTAAGATTTTTTCTGTATTTTTGCTAATAATTGTCAAGCAGAAGTCAGCAGCAAATGCAGTTTTAAAATAGAAAATGAATCCCAAAGGAGGGGAGGAGGGTAAGCATTTGCAGTATCCCAGTTTTTAAACTACCCAGTCCTAAGTATGCAAGTATTCATTAATGCTTTAAAGCTTTGAAGTTAACCTGATTTATTAGAGTTAAATACACAAGGTGACAATTTGCTCAATTCAGGTGTTAAAATGTCTTAAATAGCTTGCCTGCTTTTCCTGAGAAGCATGCAGGAGGGTGAGGATGGTTTATTAGGTAAAAGCTTAAAAGGAAGCCTTAAGTTACTGTTCTTGTGGGAGAGCTTCAGAGCAACAAGCACTTGACCACCAAATCACTAAACTTGTGTTTACATTAACTGCAGACAGATACAATGTGAATTTATAGCAAATTACGGTCATACCTTATTTGGTACCAGTACTTCACTAAAGTGGGGTTTGGAAGGGGGAGTGTTTCCTTCAGAGAAACCATCAGTGTTTGTGGTCCTGCTCCTGCTTCCCAGCAGGGAATTCCGAAGAAACAACGCTGCCACCTCCTGGAAGTAGGAGCCCTGGCTCTGGTGATACAAATTTCCTTTTGCTACCCATTTTCAGTATTTTTAATCTCTTCTGCAGCTGAGCTTTTCCACACACAAAGGGAATAGGATGTGAGTGTGTAGTTACGGATCTTGGACTGTTTGTTCCTGTACACCTCTAACAAAATCAGGAGACTTTGTGAATGGAACACAGGGATAGTGGGATGCCCCACCAGCAGAAACTGCTGTGTATATCAAAATGGCAGGATTATAGCATGCATAATTTGTGTGTATTTCCTTGTGTCTTGATTTTTTTTTTCTTTATGTAATAACAGCATGAGGACAGGAAAGAAAGAAAACAAACCACTCTACAAAGAGCAGGAGGAATATAGAGTGCACTAAAGACAGGAGTTATGGCTCAGGAAGTAATAGTGATGTAGGGAGTTTTAAGTACTGACATGAAGAGTAAAAGATAAAGTCTTGTCTACCCACAGGCTGGTGCCAATTTAATGCTGCTTTTGAGGCAAGATCGTGGCACCTTCAGTTGTGGCTGTTGAGTGCAGTGGATGTGGATATACTGCCGTTGGTTTAGCTTAAAATAATATTTTACTGAAACTTTGCTTCTTAAGCCATAGGTATGTTTGCCTCCAGGATTGATTGTAGGTCAACTGGATTGCTTTGGGTATGAGTGCTTCTCCACAGGAAAAACTAGGCTGTGCCAGGTTTTGTACTGTTACAACTGAACTACTGCTGGCACCTGAATTGACTCCCAGAAAGACAAGGTGTCTTGCTTAATGTTGTATTCTGCAATGTAGGCCCATCCTGAAAGGCAGTAAGTATTGAGTAATACCAGGGAATGAAAAAAAATTACTGATTTTGGTACTGTCCATTTTCTGGGACACCTGGCTGCCCTGTATGTAGGTCTGGCCTAAACGTTTGAACTAGCGGAGTTTTCAGAAGGGCTGCTGGCAGACCAGTAATGATCAGCATACCCAAGATGAGTCTGCCAGAAGTTCTGAAAAATTCACCTTGGAGACCTGGCTTTGGAAGGGTTGTACAGGAGAATGACCTGGCGGCTCCAGTGCTGAACTCCCGTCGTGAGACTGGCAGGGGCTGTGCTGGCCTGGGGCTGGCACCAGAGCTGAGCCCTGCCTGTGGAGGGAGGCAGACCATAGTGGTGCTGAAGCTGACGTCCCCTGGCACCCAGCCAGTTAAAAGGAGCAGTGGGATCCTTGGGGAGCCATTTTCATCTCCTGCCTGTGAACTACTGGAGCTCCCCTTCTCTGCTCTGCAAGGTATGTCACACGTGCCCTGTGGCTGGCAGCCACGTGAAGATTTTTGCCATCTCTTTAAGTTAGGAAGGCTGGTCCCTGCTCCTGG